GAGGAGGGCCGGCTGGCGGCGGGGCTGAAGGCAGGAGGCGAAGAGTTGTTTCAGCAAGAAGTTCCGTTAAAATGTTCACGTAACTTCGCGAGCTGCGTATGCTTTCGCTTAATGCCCTGTAACGTGGGCGCTGTGCTGTTTTCGTGGCCTTGTAACCATTTTATCTCCCATTTAGCATGGTAGGTGTGAATTGGAAAGCGATATATTTAAATTTCCAATAAATTATTTCCGAAATAAGCTAGCTGTGCTTCTTTAGTTCAGTAGGAGGAAGTATGTTTTGCAGGCCTCCTCCTTCAAAAGAACTTAATTGACTTTGTTCAGATGTCTGCACCTGTATGGTAAAGGTTTTTAGTGCCAACTGGAAGCCAAACATTTCACCTTGTAGAGCGAGGCTTCCTAAACGTCTCCATTAAAGCAAGCTTTGTGAGTGGAAAGAACATCCGTGTCAAAGGCTGCTAGCTGTTTCTGTGTGTCGTGCAATCAGGTGGTGAAAATCTGTATGTCATTCTTTCTGGAAAGATGCATATGGTAAAAATCAAAGCTTATAAACCCATAGTTGTTATACTTGGACGCTAAATGACCTTTTTATTTTGGCACAAAACCCCAAGTTTTTTTAAAGTCTTTTCAGTTGGTAGGTTACTTCTGCTAAATTTACACTTCAGTTAAAAGTGGCCTTGCATACAGCTGTTTTAAGCTGGCATGTGAAAAGCAGAAAGAGGGAAATGTAGTCAAATGTTTATGTTGTCAGTTGTTTAAATTGTTTTAAAATAATAGAAAATTATAGTTGGATCTAAAATATTACTCAGTGATTATCCTGAGGATACGTATATGAAATACTGTAATACAGCACAAGTTTACAGTTTGAAGCCCATTGGCAAAATCAGCTGTAGAATTCTACTTTCTGGAGTGAATGATGATCATGTCAACCATAGAAGAATCATTGTGTGGTATTTTATTTAGAAATTTCTAGGTTTAGTCAGCTGTATTGTTTTTTTTTTTTTCATTTATTTTAGTTTGGTCTTTAAATGTGAACATTTCTTTTGCAGATTTTTTTATGTACTTCTGATATTAGGAGTGTGCAAAACCTAGTTTAGCCAAAGAGTAGTTTTGAAATAGGGAAGAAACAAAAAGTTTATGTACCTGACAGCATGAACACTTACACTGTGTACAGTGAGGACTGGCAGTACTCAGATTTCAGCTCTATAAATTACCTGTTACTCTTAGAAAGTTGTGAGGTGTTAAACCTCAACATCGTAACGGCTTTGTGCTTGTCTCCCCCTTCCCCCTTTTAAATTCTAAGCAATTTCTATGACCACTTCTAGAAGTCATCAGATCATGGATTTAGGGTCTTAATTAACAGAAGCCAAGGCACAATTTGAACGTGATGTTGAATGTTTTGACATCAGCTTCTGGAGTTTTGTTATGAATGAATTTAGAAGTACGGAGATAGGGGAAAGGAAGATAAAACAAAGGAACCTATGGTGTAGTGTGTGTTGATTTTGGGGGTGGTGTGTGTTTTTTTCTGTCTGGTGGAATTAAGAGTACTTACATCAGTACTGATACATCAAAGCCAAAAAACCATTCAGAAACTGAAGAGTGGGTTTTAGTTTGTTTTGGTTAATGTATGTCTATTCTATTATGTCTGTACAACTTACTTGTAAGTACAGCTACTTACCTTCTTTCTTTCTTTCTTTTTACCTTATTTCTTATGCCTTATTAAATATGGCTTAGTTTTTCAGTCTCTTTTTACTTTATATGTGTCAATATAACCTTTTTCTTTTCCCCCTCATTCTTTCTAGTTACTGTTTTTAAATGCACAGACTGGACTTTTCAGTGCGTAGTGGAAGTTTTCTTAGATTCTTGTATACTGCTGTTATTGGTGAAGGTCTGATTAAACCAATGATTTTATGTGTGCAGACTGTATGCTATTAATGATTGAGTTGGTAAACAATGTACAAATTAAATGAAACAGTTCATTGAGCTCCTTTGGCTTGACAAGAGCCAACTATGTAAAAAGTTTCTTTATTGGCAGGAACTTTTTAAAATGAAACCAACAACTTAATCTGATAAAGCAGTGGAAGATACAGATGCTTAAGTGAGCTTCTTCAGTAAAGCAGTTCTCAGGGCAAAGACAATCAAAGCAGTAGCAGAGTGTTTTTTGGACAGTAGAAGAACAGCTGTACTGGATCAGTCTGCATGTCTGTTTAGCCTAGTATCTTATCTTGGGACGGACACTAGTTTATGCCTAGGAAAAAGCGTAAAAACAGTAGCCTTCATTAGGAAGTTGCTGCTCTGTGGTGGAAAAAATACTTGTTTGTAGTGTATTTAATAGAATTAAAATTCTGAATATCTTTTTTGCAGAGAGTCAGAATGACTAAAAAAAGGAAACATCAAGAAGATTTCCAGAAAGTGAAATTAAAAGTTGGGAAAAAAAAGCCTAAACTAGAGAATGCAACTGATACTACCTTCAGAACAAAGGCCATACAAATTCCTGAGCAGCTTAAAGAAGATGGAGTGCTTCCTACGCAAAATAGAAAACTTAACATAAAGGTATCTTGTGATGTTACATTCTGAAATGGCAGAAAATTACTTGTCATTTATTTAGGTTTACTATGTATACTAGAGTATAGGAAAAAAAATTTATTAAAAAAAAAAAATCAAAAAACCCAAACCACCAAACTTTAAAAAAACCAGCAGAGTATCTCATACAGCCTCTTTGCCCTCGACAATAAGCTGACCCATGAATTTAATGACTTAAATTGCTGGACCAGCACATAACCCAAGGGAAGGGTTTCCAGCAGTGTGAAAACTAAAGGTGCATGCTGGTTGAGGTATCTGGGATTAACATTTGGTTTTTGAAAGTCTTGGATCACAACTCAAGGACGGGGTTTTAAAAAACAGACTTCCTGAGATGATGTTTTTAAAAAATCTTGTATTTCTTTGGGTGGTGGTTCTGCTTTCTGTCCTTTGCATCGTCTTCTATCTGTTGCAGCTCTCTGCTTAAACTGAAGAAAGCTGTTGAGACTGAGATTTTGTAGCTCTACTTTTGAGAACAAGCGTGAGAGGACTTACTTTTAGTCATCTCTCTGTTAAGTCAGTAGGGTTGTGGGTAAACTTAAGGAGGATTTTCGAATTACCTGAAGGACAAGTCATGATATCTTGTTTTTTTTCTGTCATTGAATTTTGATGATTTGTTCATTGTTACACTCCAGACTAATATTATATTTGTTGTGAACATACTATGTTGTTACAAACAGCAGTACATCATAAGAACAGATTCTGTGTGTTTGAGTATTTAAGAAAAATGTGCTGGGAATAGGTGGGGAAGTTTAAGGAGCTTAAAGTAATAATGATAGCAAGTGTATGTGTTTCTTTCCTTTTAGGATCTGCTTTCACAGATGCATCACTATAGTCCCGGGGTTAAGCACAATGCACTTCTTGGGCTCAAAGATCTCCTATCTCAGTATCCGTTTGTAATTGATGCACACCTTTCAAATATAATAAGTGAGGTGGCAGCTGTGTTTACAGACAAAGATTCTGGTGTCAGAGGAGCAGCTGTTCACCTGCTGCAATTCTTGGCTTCAAAAATAAGAGCGGAACAGATTGCTCCGTTTTTTCCTTTGGTAAGTGCCCATCTCTCCAGTGCCATGACTCATATCAGTGAGGGAATTCAGGAAGATTCATTGAAAGTCTTGGATGTTTTATTGGAAGTGTACCCAGCTCTTCTCACAGACCGCAGCAGTATATTGTTGAAGAATTTTGTAGAGCTTATTTCTCACCAGCAGCTGTCAAAAAGACTGAAAAGCAAAGAGAAACTTTCCTGGATGCTCTCTGTTAACCCAAATCGCAGAGTAACTTCTCAGCAGTGGAGGCTGAATGTGCTTACCAGGCTCAAGAAGTTTCTCCAAGCAGTGGTGGATGGATCCAGTGAGATAGAGGATGAAGGGCTTCAAGAACAAAAGGATAGCCCTCAGTCTATGAGGAGCCCAATATGTATAAGTTGGAAGGTCCATGCAAATAATCAGCAACATATACAACTGTTTGAAAATGGTGGCTTACGACCAAAGATCAACTCATCGTTTAGACTGAGGTGAGAAAACGTCAGCTAATTTGGGAATTTAGTCAGCTGTACGATCACAGTGTTAAACTGTGGTTTGTTGCTGTTGGAGACACCATTTTAATTTTTATTGTGGGATTGTCCCTTAGCCACATTTTAGGGTATTTAGTGTAATGTACCATATTGCTGCAGTGGCTTTTAAATATGGAAATACTCAGCAGGTAACCGTGCTATGCATGTATCATGAACTTTCCCGTTGTCAAATAAAAGCTTTATTTTTTGCTATTCGTAATACTTTTGGCAGACCAGCTCTAGCATTTTTTTTGGAATGCAAACTGATAACTGCAGGTTGTTGCAGGATATCAGACAGCGCTGTGGCCAAGCAGGCAAATTTCTTTACACTAAACATAATCTTGTTTCTTATACTGTAATAGTGAATTTTACTGAAATTTTGTGGTTTTACCTGCAAGAGTCTGTCATAATTTTAGAAGTCTATTTTCTTTGAATATAGCTCCTTTTACAAAGGACAGCATGATAAGATGTATCTGACTGTATAAAGTTGTGCTGAGTTTCTGATTCTAGGTACTTTTAATGAATTCACCTGTTTATATCTTCACTATGGTTAAAAGATGTCTCGTCTGAGACGTTGATAAATATTGAAGAAAGTGTAGTGTGCTTAGCCACAGAGAAGTTTGTGTGGTTTTTTTAGTAGTACTCTAAACAGATTTGAGGTGAAGTTAAGGGAGAAATGACTAACCATCTTTATTTCTCTTCCTCCTTTCCGATTCACCTGCTCCTCAAACCAGAGGGGAACCTCCCACCCCACTTTATGATACCTTTTAAACATTGGCATCCTCATCTACGTGCATTATGATAGGTGTTATGTAGCTGCTGGTAGGAGACCTGGAATGACGACTTGAAAAATGGAAACTGTTTAGCTGTTACACAGCATTTGTAATCCACGGGTGTCAAGGTGGTTTGAAGAGAAACCACAATCCTTGTTTTACTGCTGAGGGAGACCGAATAAGGGGTATAAGCAGTTACACCAAATTCATCTAGGAGGTCAGTGGGAGAGCAGGGTATAAAACCCATTGCTATGTCCATCTCGTGTCTTTGAATGAAGTGCAGAAGAAGAGGTGTTCTCTTTTAGTACCACAGGTTTTGGACTGAATCAGCAGGTGTTTTCCATCTCTATCATGGAGACACACAAATGCCCATTCTATTCCCACTCTCCTAGGCTTCCTCTTGGTAGACTATGTATTATTTGTGATAAGTATAGGAAATTTATATTAACTAAGTAAAAAGTGGTTGTTACATAGCCGAAGAGTTTGATCGTGACCAACAATATCTGCTGCAGGTAAAACTTTAGTTGGAAACTAGACAGGTGAAGCCTACTTGAGGAATGGGGAAGGGCTCAGTGCTGAGCACAAAACAGTCCAATGGACTTCATCTCTGCAGTCAGAAGCGTACGTCTGTGGACCAGAGGATTCTTGTATTGTGCCCTTAGTGATATCCAGTGTGCAATATACTATGCCCTGTAATTGCTGAAGATGTGTTGTATCCAAGGTCTAGGAAGATAAACTTTATACCTTGTGTCACCTGAATTGGATTCCACTTCCTGAGGAGCTAGATTTTCATGAAACGTTGTGATCCACTTGTGGGTATAAATACTTTCAAAAAAGGCATTAGCAAGCATGAGGAGGAGCCAGAAGAAGGAAACATTGCTAGAAACCAAGGCGAGATTGGCAAAGCGAATTGATGGCAGCAGAACAGAAGAATGGAAAGAGAAGGGGCATCTGCAGAAGGTACTAAAATCTTCTCATTTCATTGTATTCACACGTATTTTTGATACGTTAATTTTGCACAGAGGGCCAGTACAGCTTATTTTAGTGGATATCCATGAAATTCTGAGAGTGGAAATTACTGTGGTGGCCTTTGTATTTGCCACTGAAATCTTTTCTAGTAATCTGAAGTTGTTTAATTCTGTCTCTTCCAATCCCAGTTGTGGCCTTTTACAGGCATTCCCAGGCCTCTGGTATGGCCATTACTGTAAGGATAGAAATTACTTCTAATAAAAGGTGCAAAACATCTGTAATGCTCCTTGAGTACTTCTGAAATGTCAAACATCATATGTGTTTTTGTTTAAAGAAGTCAATGCACAAATAGTCAAGTCCTAACTATAGATAATGAGTTGACCAAACCATAAGTAACTAATTGCGGTGTGTATGTATTGATGGCCTCATCACTAATACTGCCAGTAAGTTTCGACTTTGTTCTTTAAAAAGTAGGCTTCCAAACACCACTAATAGTATGCTAAGTTTTTAAAGTTCCTATATCTTTTTAATCTTGCAAGTTCATTGGGTATGGATGGCACCTCCTTGATAACCTAGTGATTACAGACAAAGATTTTCAGGATCAATGTGCACTATTAATGTTTAGTAAAAAGTGTAGATTCTGAGCTTGCAATGCTGGATGGTTCAACAATGCGAAGCTTGAAAGACTTTATTGTTTTCTGTTGTGTGCTAGGTCTTACTGTGTGTGAATTAAAGATTACAGTGAATTAGGAGATAATGAGAATATATCCTCTGCCTTATGTGCTGACTGTGCTGCCTTTTCCACCAAACTCATTTCAGGTATGGGAAAACAGCAAGCTTTCACAACTTCATGAGGTGATACCAAGGTGTGTGATCTGTTTTTGGACTGGAACTGGTGCTGAAGAGAAATGTTACAGCTTCTGTTTCTGCTAAGAAAGGATGGAATGAAGCCGCAGAGAAAAGTGAAGACTTGAGAGACCAAAATGGAAGACAAAGCATAGTGAATAAATATCTATATGCTGTTACCTGTGCATCAGCTAGAAACGGAAACTACAGTTCACTTGGTGTACAGAGTGTTTCTTTGCGCACAAAAAAAAGGACAGTAAACTGGCTTACACTCTGAGCCATAAAAACTTACAGACTTCCAATGACTTTTCCTATTTTAAAACAAGGGAACAACTTTCTGCTGCTTCTGTTTCCTTTACGCTTCCTTGACTTCGCTTTGCTGTCTTCTTACTGTCAAATGGCAGATATGTTACACAGTTTTCTTTTGGTTCTGCTTTATAAAAATATTGGCGTTTTAAAGAAAAACAACAGTTTAAGGGGTACACAAATATCTTGCAGCTCCCCGCAATAGTATTTCATACTGATATGAAGGTAATATGCTTTATAGTGTTTGAGAGCCACCTTACCATTAAAGAATAGTGATAATAGATAGGTGACAAAAAGATTAACGCTCTAATTGACATAAAATCCTTCCAGTTCCAGTGGACATGTATTCCTAAGGATATTGCACTAATCGAATGCATACTGGGCAGATTACTGTAATACTTTGTCATCATCTGTTACTGGCAATCAGATTTTACTTATTGTTAACCTTAAATATGTGGAGGAGTCTTATCCTGAGACATGGGAGGGTCTTTTGCAGGGGTACATGAAAGCTATGCTAAGTATTCTTGCCCAAATCCTTTCAGTGGCTGGGTGGAGTATACCTTTTGGCATGGATTCTTTCTTCTTTTTCCATCCCTTGTTTCAGAAAAGTACTGAAATAGCTGAGTGTGCATGTTATACTTTTGTAGTAATCTCCAGGTGTGTGTTGCCAAATTCTCAGATTTCAGGCACTGTTCCCTGTTTAATGGGAAGGGTTTTTTGTGTTCCAGAAACAGATTGCTCGAATTCCAAAGCTCTGCTGTAATATCAGGTATTATTTTTGAAACGACTGAAGGCTACTACTTCAGAACTATTTCAGCCAATTACTGACATTTCAGAGTCTGAGCTGACTGTGTAGTCTTGTCGTGGTGTATGATTTACAGGACAACTTAACTTTTTCAGTGAGGTTATCCTCTTGCTATCAACTAGGTTGTCCAGTGATGCTTTAGAATTCATTGTGGTTATAACTGGAAGATGGGATTTGTCTGCTGTGTCTTACTGAGAGTTAAATGCTGTGGTTGGAACCGGAGTTACTCAGGGGTTTCTTTCTTTGCAGAACTTTTTTTTAAATGGATACAAATCACCTGAATTTCTCCAGGAGCAGGATTTGGTCATTTGTGCTGATAATCCCTTTTGAAACACAAACAAAATGTGTTATAAGAGGGGAAAGAAAAGTCCTTGATTTTCTTGCTTTCTGGGAGATGTTATTTTAATTCAAACTATATATCTTAATTTTTTGATAATTTTTGTTTAAATTAATCATTAGATCATTTTAATAATTTTCCAGCTAATTGCTCTCCAGAGCATTATAGTTAAACATCAGGTGGGAACCAAAGTTAGATTTTTGCAGAATGATATTTTTTTTTCCTATTAGAATGAACAACCCATATGTTTATTATAGCTGGAGATGGTTATTAACTGTAATAAACCTCATAAATTTGACAATACTCTGTAGTCAGTTTCATTATTTTGCTTCAAGGAGCTTAAAAGTTAAAGCTTTTATGTGTTGTTGTGCCGAGTATAGTGAATTCTTATCTGTTGGTTGAAGGTGATAATGATAATGCACATCATATTTCTCCACTTTATAGACTTTACATATAGCAATGGGGAAAGAAATACTGAAATCTAAGAAGTTGTTACAGAAGCACACAAACTTTCAGGGAGACTCGGGAGCAGGTTTGTTGTAGATGGTTTGAACTCCCTTTTTTCCTTACTGAAATATCTAGCAAGAAAGCAAGCCAACATTTAATGTGTCAAAAAGTAATTGTTCCTGTTATTCAGAGAGCAGGAAAGTGGTATTGCTCTAATCTGTTTTTAAAGGTGCGATCTTCATATTTTTTCTTTTTTCTTTGCTTTTGTCATTTAGGTCTCTGACAAGTGTAATGGACAGTGCAGAAAAAGGCCTGTCCTCGGCTGAAAACTTAAAAGGTTTTATTGAAATAATAATTCCATTATTGATTGAGTGCTGGATTGAAGCCTCTCCTGCACAATCAGCTCCCATTCTTGGAAACCTTTTGGAATCAGAATCTCAGCAGCTTATGCAGCAAGTGCTTAGTATAATACATTTATTGTGGAAACTCACAAAGCGACATGATGAAACATACAAAATGGTAAGGGAGAAGTGATCTGTGGCATAATAATGACAGTTTGTTTTGATTGGAAACTATTGATTTGGTGATCGGAAGTAATAGAAATATTTCTTTAAGAGAAAAAGCCTAGGTTTTGAGTAGAATTTGGGTTTGGATTTTGTCAAGTATCTTACTCTAGAAGAGAATCTGCTGAACTGAGCAGTGAGTTCAACGATCAGTCTTCAGGAATCCTTGACAGGCTGCAGCACAGAAGATTTTGAAAATGGAAGAGGTATTGGAGAAGAGGAGCATTTTGTCTTCCAGATAACCTCTAGAATATAAATTTGAACAAAGCTTAGAATGGAGTAGTTTGTTCCTTTTTTTGTGTGTTGAAAAGTTTTACAGGGGTGAAGGGATGGAAATGAGCAAACCCTAAACCCTTGGAAGGATAGGGGACAATGGTGGTATGAGACCCTGTGATTGCTTGGTGCAGCCTATGTTGTTGTGTCACGATTGGTAGTATCACAAGACGTTGAATCAAAACCTCAGTAAGAATTATGGCAAATATCCTTGAAGTTTTTGTGCCCTAATTATCTAGTCTGTCTTTTACTTTGAGAAATTAATTGCTATTTTTTGTAACTTTTGCAGCTCTTCCAAAATTTTTTGCAAACTGGAAAAAGAACATAATTCTCTTCCCATTTTGGCTGTTGAGAGTAGCTGGAAGGAATGTCCTGACAGCTTTTTGTTTTACCTGTGTATAGGACTGTATGTCCATTTGCTAAACACATCTGCATAAAGAATAATTACTGGAAATTTGTTTGTGGAATCATTCTATTAGACCAGAGTTAGCCAGCATACACAGCCTGACGGATGGATTCAGTGCGTCCGCACAAAACGTGCTGTTCCCTTTCATCTGTGGTACAAGGCCTCTTTGAAGCAGGAAGAAAGCAGGCTGCTGGCCTGGTAAATACCTATAGCAGCCTGCTGCCCCTAGCCTTTTTCTGTAGGGCACTGCAGAGCTGCTGCCCTTAGCAGTAGGATGTGTGCTCTTCAGCCACGTGAAAGGAGTGGTGCTGTGTTGAGATGTAGCTGGTTTAGGTACACACAGTTGCATTGTGACCTTTGGATGTTTTGCAGGAAAAAAAAAAATCTGATGGTCCATACAACTTCTTTTTTTGAGCATATTGTCTTTTAGATACAATAAACTGTTTATCATATTTTTTCTTTATAGTCACCTTTATATATAAAATGCATTCAGATGGCTCAGTTTTTGAAAATGGAAGCTCTGCTAATTTTATAGCCTTTGGCTGTACAGACCAACGTGGTTATTGGAGACACTCTGGAAAACCACTATGAATATGCCTGGTGGAAACCTGTTAATCTTTGAAATAGTTTAATGGCCATTCTCTGTTTTTTAACACTTGAATATCAATAAGATTATTCTGCCTGACCGATTTGATAGCAGTGCAGGCTTTTTTTGTGTTGAGTTCTGCTGAATGGTTTGTGGAATGGTGACTGTGAGTATCTGCTAACCCAACAAGTAAAATTATTTTTAAATACTGGAAAACAATCCTTTTTCTATAAGGATGAGCTTTCTACCATAAAGATGTTTTGTGTCAGTGGGCTTTAAACTACATGTACACTAGTGACAGGGAGAGATGAAGGCAGTGTCAGAATATGTCTTGGTAGAAAACTCAGAACAGTCACTGCAGTGATGTAAAAGCACTTCCACATCTGTAACTCACTTGGTTTAGTATTGCATACACCCACATTAATATGTGCTGAGAAAATATACTGATCCACTTTGGATTAAATGTTGTCACTCACTCAACCTTCACTTATGCCGTTATTCTATGGGCCTTCAGGCTCATGCGCAGGACTTCACATTTGTGTGTGAAAGTAAATATATATGAAAACATGCAAACAGAAGCTAAAGTGCCTGTTTTTCATTGATTTCAATAATGGATTGTGGAATATGGCTGCCTTGATGTGTTTCACTTACTACCATGTTTTCTGTCTATCATCTGCTTTCCTTAACAGGAGCTGTGGCTTCGAATGAATTACCTTGTTGATTTCAAGCACCACTTCATGCGTCATTTTCCTTATTCTCTACAAGAAACGGTAAAGCACAAAAAGAGAGATTCGTGCAAAGGGTAAGAATAAAATCAGTGTCATGTTACAGCTTTTAATTTCATAAGTGAGACAATGTGAGTCATATGCTTTATCCAGTATTAAGTTTTTAATGTTGGGGAAAAAAACCCTATTTATTGCGTATTCCTTCAAGATCTGTAGAGTTGTTTTTATAGGAAGGTAGCATTGCTTTGAATTGCTAAGTTTTATTTGTGCTTTGTAAAAGTATTGTATAGGAAGTCATCTGAATAGCCTCCAGTAGAAATTAAAAATGCAGTCTTACAGAAATGAAAATATTTTATTGAATGCTTGATTGGGAATTTGCATATTGCTATATGGTGATTTGTGTTAGTCTGACTAGTTTCGTATTTCTGCATGTTTTCTTCAGTTGACTGCTGAATTACATCAAAACATAGCTAAAACATTTTTCTCACCCAGATCTACTCTTCTGTAGTTGTATTACAGGGCTGGTTAAATACAGGTAGGATGGGAGATGGGACGTACTGTTCCTGTCCTGCATGGCCAAGCAGTACTGGAGAAGTCAAACACTTGTGTGTTTCTTCGCTATTGAGCTAGCAAGAGTGGGTGTGCCAGTTTTGTTCTGGTACAGGCCAGTAGCAGGTTGTCTCCTCTTTCCGCTCCCAGGTGTGAGACTACATTCATTCAAAGTTTGTTCTGGAGTCATTCTGTGCCACTGCAGCCTGTATAAAATGCTGGTGTTACGGGTATAAGCTGGTGTCTGTTCTAGCTTGAAATACTTGCAAACTGTGCCACTGCAGTCTAAGCTGTAGTAATATAAGCAGCTCTTGTTATACTAAGGGTCTGCCAAGGTGCAAGTGTACTTGAGACTGAGCTCATGTTTGATATTTTGATTGTTGTGTTTTCTCTTCCTGGAAGGGCACATAGATCACAGGTACAGCATAGCTCTTTGTTAAATGCTTTCATTTCAGCTAAGTCTTGCCCATCAAGTTCATAAAGCCAAAAGGTGTTTTGCTTTTCCAGGCTTTGACCTGAAGACCTTTCTTTGAAACTGAAAAATCCCAGAATTAGTAGTCAGGCAATGCAACCATCTTGTCTTATAGGCGACACCCTGACTAACCATATTTCTGTTGACCCTTCTTCACTCTGCTACTAAGTTTTGCCTCATTCTTGAACTTTAAAGTAAATATATTGTTGGGTACGTGCAGGAGAAATAATCTGTGAAACTCTTCTTTGTGTTTTTGACTGTTACTTCAAGACTTGTGGAAACTTAGCTTCATGCTGTGAAAATAAGAATAGATGCTTTTTTTTGCTTGCTTACTGATATATTGGGTTACAAGCCTGCATTTGGAAACCTTGCATGACATTTTGAGGCTTCCTTCCTTCTCTGGTTTGAAAAGTGTTGCAGAAATTTACCACAGTACTGCTGATAGTGCTTAATACCTACATATTCTGAACATGAAACAGTTACTAGCACTTATGCCACGTGTACGTGATGTCCACAGATTGAGAGTTATTTGCTCATATTGTAATGGTTGGCTCTGAACTGAAAGGTGACTACACTTAAGTTAGCGCAGGTTAAAGTGCTACTTGTTATGGCATTTTCACAGCTCTGCTTTGTGTTCTGAATGTCGGCATTCATATTGTGCAGCTTTCTGTAGCTAAGTGCTATGGGGATTTTTTTGTCTACTGGGAGTGACTAATTGGCAAGTAGAGAAGTTCTAGCATTGCGTGTCAAGCTGCAATACCCTTGATTTCTCTCTTGATATCCCTGAATTTTGTCTGTCAACCTCTGTAGGGCAACAGGATGGTCCTACAGAATATTGTGGTGGTGAAAAATGTGTTTCTCATTTGATGGAAGTTTGGAAAAAAGTACATAAATGGATTTCTTTATACTGTTCATGGTGCTTTTTGCCATTATGGGATAATGACAAAATTCATGTGATTCCTCAGAGAAGAAACACAGAAGAGACTGAAACTAAGGATTAACTTTTTTTAGTCTTCCTTTGCCAGTTTCAGTCACTTAAAAGTGCTGCTAGGCCAGAGTGAAGATGTCAGTTAAGAGAAACCAGCCATAGAGATACAATTTAGAGCTTTGTTGTTGCTGCCACTATGAATATGAGAGCTAGACATTTTGGTGGCAGAACAAAAATTTTGAAGTACCCAAATGTCAAACATGAAGACTTTTGAAATACGTATTGGCTTTAAAACATAGATTTTTTTTTTTTTTCACAGTATAATTTCTACCAAAGTAACATATAGTAAAAGGCACAAAATTTTTTTTACATATCTTTTTTTTTTTCTTGCCCTCCCCCTTAGCAACAGGTATTGTATGTCATCCTCAAACAGCGTAGACCATCTTTTACTGAATTTAACCTTGTGTGACATAATGGTTTCACTAGCAAGCACTTCAACACTGCAGATGGATTCTGGCTGGCTGGACATGATACGGAAATTTGTGACAGACACTCTTCAGGACGGCAGCAAGCTGAATAGTAAGCAGGTGAACAGATTGCTTGGTGTGACTTGGAGACTAATGCAAATACAGCAAAACAAAGGTAAGATACGAGTAGTTTCTGAAAAGCAAAATTATGCTCTGACAAAGAGCTTGAGTTATTCCAGCGTTTTCAGGTCACTTCATCTTATATCCTCAGTTGTTATATCATGATGTATTTTGTCTTACAGAGGTAAATTGAATTTCATGGTCATATCCCTGTATGTAGCATTGAAAACAGCTTGATTTTTAACAGTGCTGTTAGATTCATACTGTTGATATACTAAACATTAGTATATTTGTGTATCTGTTTTCTGTTTTTACTATTTAAGGTATTCTTATAAATGGGAAGATGATTTTTTTTCACCGAAAAAAGATAATTGCTATGATAGGTAGAGATGATACATTAATATTCCAATCCTTATTTAAAATGTTTAACATAGCTGGTAGACTCTGTTGAGTACTGTCAGATGACCGTTCTAGTTCTGTGATGACATGAAATGCCAAGGTAGTTCTGATGGAAGCTGCTGTAGAATGCTTTCCAAGGTGTTTGATTTGAATCCTTTCCTAAGAGAAGACATATTTCCAGTTGTGACTTGCAAGACCAGTACAGTATTTTGGTTTGGCTTGCTTGCTTTGCTTTTCAAGCACTGCTTGGTTGTGTTCCAGGTGAGAACTTGGTCGACGTGTCTGTTAAGTGATTGATGTAGGACTTCTTCAAGAAAGGAATTTTTCAGTAAGTCTAGAGGTGGCAGGGATCTATTGTGTCTTACTAGTCTGACAGAAGTGAATTCCACAGCCATGGAGTCAAGTGGAGTTCATAGAAAATGCTTTGCGCTTAGCAGCAGGTTTCATTTAGTGTTGTAAGATGAAAAGATGTCAGATGTCCCTCAAATATATTTTGGCAGTTAGTTGTATCTCCTTCCAAATACGTTTTAATTAGGAAGCTGTCTATTCCTATGTCCCTGATGACAAAGATAATAAGTAATCATTCCTATCCGCACTGAAAATTTTAGCTTCCTGTTGAAGGTGAATAATAGTCCGGAGATGTGCTTGTTTCACCAGCTGAGCTAAAGTAGCAGAGTTCCTACTCAGAAAAGTAGTTTCCAAACTATTGTTAGGCTGTTAAATATTTCACACTTTTCCTTATAGTGAAACATTGATTTTTCCTTTGCTGACCAAACTTTTACCAGACAGTGGATAATGGCTGGTATTTTTCTAACTAAAGTGGTTATTTTAGTGCCATAATTTTCCTCAGGAATGCAGAACATAAGCTTTAAAAAAAGATTAAATGAAATTCTGAAAGATAAATATGTATGGATCTTGTCTGCTGATCCTGTAAATGTTCAGGAATTTCACTGCAAGTAGGAGATTCTTTACCTTGCGAATCTGTATCTGTCTCTGTGGACAGTTTATTTCATCCCTTCAAGATAATCGTTGTGCAGTACTGAAAGCCTGATGAGATGTCAGACTAAAATTCATTTACTAGCTGTAGAGGAAATACAGCCTCGACATGCTGGAGAAATGGGCTGATGATTCAGCAAGGAGAAGTGCGAAGTCCTGCACCTGGGGAGGAAGAACCCCATGCATCTGTACATGCTGGGGGCTGACCAGCTGGAAAGTAGCTTGGCACGAAAGGACCAGGGGGTCCTGGTGGACACCAAAGTTGAACACGAGCCAGTGGTGCGCCTTTGTGGCAAAGGTGGCCAGTGGTGTCCTGAGCTGCATTAGGAGGAGTGTTGATAGTGATCCTTTCTCTCTATCTGTTCTGCACTGGTGAGGCTGCACGTGGAGTATTGTGTCTGGTTTTGGGCTCCCCGATACAAGAGAGATAATGGACATACTGGAAAGAGTCCAGTGAAGGGTCATGAAGGTGATGCACAGGAGCGCATCTCCTACGAGGAAAGGCTGAGAGACCTGGGACTGTTTGGCCTGAAGAAAAGGCTTAAGGGGGTATCTCACCAACTTATGTAAATACCTGAAGGGAGAGTGCAAAGAAGAGGGAGCCAAGCTCTTTTCAGTAGTGCCCAGTGACAAGACAAGAGTCAATGGGTACAAACTAAAACTCAGGAGATGCTGTCTGAACATCAGGAACACCCTTCTTCACTGTTAGGGTGACCAGACACTGACACAGGTTGCCCAGAGAGATTGTGGAGTCTCCATCACTGGAGATATTCAGAAGCTGTCTGGACGTAGTCCTGGACAGCCAGGTCTAGTTGATCCTGCTTCAGCAGGGGTGTTGGACTAGATGACCTCCAGAGGTCCCTTTCCATCTCAACCATTATGTGATTCTGTGGAAGAACAAAAGCTTCCTTCCTTGTTTTTTTTTTTTGTTTTTTTTTATGGTGATCTAGAAATTCTGAACTTTATTGTGTCAGATGGTACTGCAAAAGATCGTACATACCAAAAATATAACTCTGATTTGTTTAAAACTTACCCAACATTGAGATTAAGAGCTTGGAAGGATATGTCTTCTTTAGAAGATGATGCAAAGGAAAAAGTGAACCATTACTATCAAATTTTTTTTAGAACAGTGGAAATCAAAAGGGGTCAAATTTAGAGAGAAAATACAAAAAGCTAGTGAATGAGAGATTAAATAACACCAGTCAACCTCCTGTGCATAATGCCACAAAAGCATGGTGGTATCTTTGCAGTTGCATTTTTCAAGGTTGCCTGTTTTGAGTAGCTATTTAGGCTGGGGTGAAATGCACCTTTTTTTTTGTGGATGTGTAGAAGAGCTTTGAGCTGTGACATTTGAAGGTTTCTCTCCCTTGTTTAAGATCAAACTCTGGGTCTGCTCTCTGTAATTAGGAGGTCTGCTCTTTTCTTGCCTCTCTCAGGTATGACTTTAGCAGCAGCTTGCCTGCTAGTTGTATTTTTTGATACATTTTCTTCCAGTAATGAAGAGAACACACTCACTTCAGAAGGAGGCTTGCCATGTGCCAATTAAAACTGAAGTATGTTAAAACTCGTGAGGACTTTGGGTGTGTTTTGGAAGTCTGTATAATGAGGACCTTTTAAGTACTACTTTTTAAGAATACATTTTTAAATTGCTTCCATTTTTAAACTTGTCTTGTTCATATGAAGCAATTCAAATAGTAGGATCTGCTTTACTAAATGTGCCATAGAGAGTTATTGGAAGGTGGCTGAATGTTTTACACACTTAGAATATTTATTTCTTATTATGTTTGTTCAGTTAACAGTTAATTAGCTAAAAACTACACAAAGGTTTAAGTGATGTTCAGTGAAAAATAATCCAGTGTTCTGTTTAAGAAATGCTGTCCAAGATAAATCTTTACCTGACGAGTATGTGAATTGAGTAAGTTGATGCTTCTGATGCAATGAAAATAATTTATCTTAATTAAAATCCATTCCAATATCTGATGTACTTTCCTGTTGACCAATATGTTAATTTCAACTTCTAAATGGCTTCTGGCATTATGCTTGAGTATGACCATTTCATTTCAGGTGCTCTTTATAGAGTATCTTTTAGTGAGAATCCCTATATGATAACTTAAATACGTTCCCTGGTAAGAGTTTTGATGATGAAAATGAGCCCATGACTGGATTCAGAATAATATTTGGTGTGATGCATTCTTGTCTTTGTGAGCAGAAGTAGCTCAGTTCAGTGTGGAACACAAAATTGTATGTGTTTTTGAATATATAAGTTACTACAACTGCTCTGTACACCTAGATGGAAAGACAAAGGTTTCTGAGTCTTGGTTTGTGAAGGTAGCAAAGTGGTTGCTACTACTTAAGTATATCTTGACAGCAATGAATTTACTGGGACCCCAAGCTCTTCTGAGACAGATTGAGTCAGGTTTCATACCCTTTGTATATCTCTTAGGTTTTCAGATGCTTCTCCTTTCTTTATAGGCTTGTCTTCTCTGAATTCAGATATTTTTCCATACTTTGTTAGTTTTTATATCCAGTGGTTTAATTAGGTTTCCAAAGACAATCTTTGGTCTGTTTCTCAGTCTACTATAATAACTTCTGCACTTGGTGTCTGGCTTTAGCCAACATAACAAGGATCTCGTATATGATAATAATGTCATAAGGATAGAACTTTCATACATTGTTTTAAGTCTGGTGGTAAAGCATAGCTGACGAGACTTCAGAGGAGGAAAGGTTTCAGTGGAGTTTAGCAGTTTTCTTTGCAGTGGCTTGCCAGAGGGCTCTTGAGGTATGTGTTTCCTGGTTCGTTAGCAAATGAGATTTGGAGCCAGCTGGTTCAAAGACATGGAGAGCTGAGAAGGCTGGTGTGTGTGACAGAGAGAAGGGGATAGTATGGAAAGAACTGAAGGCACTGTGAGAGTGAGGTTTTGAGGGTGCACGGGTGAGGAATAAAGGAGACTGGTGTGAGGTTACTGCACTAGGGGAAAAGGATGTGGAAGATAGCTGTGGAAAGCAGAAATTTATTTGTTCTCAGCTACCTTGCAATGTGTGCACTGGCCTTGTCTTCAGGAAGTTCTGAAGTTTTCACTTGCATGTTGTCTTTGTTCTTTTGTGTGACCCTTTCACAAGCTACACAAGGAGAAGTTATTTCAATAGTTTAGAAGTCTATCCTGTAGTTGTTTTAAAAGATTTTGGTACTTCCCTGTGGAGTTACGTGTTTCTGCAACTATCTACATTTTATAGCTGTTCTGTGAATGTGTATATGTATAAAATTGGAAGATCAAGAAGTGCTACTTCAGATTTTTGTATATTTTCTTTCTAGTGGCAACAGAACCCTTGATAAAAGCAGTATATACACTATACCAGCAAAGGAATCTCCTCTTTCCGGTTCGTACATTGCTTTTGAAATTTTTTAGCAGAGTTTACCAAAAAGAAGATTTGAGGACTCAAAGAGTCAGGTAAAAACCATTTGCATATTCTTTTTCATTTCAACATAATATATTTATTTCAGAATTTAGAACACTGGATTTCTATGTAGATGTTATAAAACTTCATTCTGAATCTGTATTGGCACTGTGTCACTGATACTTGAAAGCTTAGGCTCTCTCCGAGATTGGGATGTGTATTAGCTTAGTTGCCTTCTATATAGTACTTAGGTTAAGAAAAATTTTAATGATTTAAAATTTAACTTGAGGTACACCGCTGCAAACCCATAGTTACTGGCTGTGTGGTAGTAGCAGATGTGTTAAGATTGTGCAGCTCTGGCCGTGGAGCATTTCCATGACTTTAGCCCGAGGTTGTGGACTCGTGACTTACTGCCTTTGGTGGTCTGGTAGTGCCTGTCTAGTCTTCTGTACTTATTTAAGAAAAGTATTCCGTTGTTTTGGATGCGTGGTTCTAAAGAGACTAGGTCTACGAAAATGTTCTCATCCTTTTGCGTTCCTGGTTTCACGCAGCTCTTAGATACCTGACTTGCCTCAAATGACAGGAGATTATTCTCTATATTGCTGTTTTTGCACTTTTTCATCGTAAAATTTGTCCAAATTGTCTCCAAGTCTTATCTTTTCCAGAAGGTATTTTTCAGCCAAGTCAGTCTGGTTCGAGCTACGTAAAGTCCTTAAACACAGATCAGGCTGCATCAGTCCTACCTCGTTTGAGAACTGCAAAGGGATGTGAGATCGTACCCATGATACCTGTTTCTGCTGCTAGGTAAAAATCAAACCTCAGGGCCCCAAGAAGTACTGGCATCCACTGGCAGAGTCAAGCTTTGGGAAAATTGTTCTTTTCTGAAGCTTCTTTGCTTTGTTAAATCTTATGTTGTGGTAATGCCTGAGTGCGTGTAGTTAGACATACAGCCAGAACGCTACCCTGTGAACATTGTAAAAAGTATGGGGAATTTGAAAGACGGACAGGAAAAAGGCTTGGGAATATTCTGTTTTCCTCCTTTTTTCATCCACAGTGAAAAAGATCTTTTTCATACTGATGAATTTCCCCGAGGTTATGTAACCACTGTTTTCTGTACTTACCTGGAAGTCTTGAGCATCTCATCTAGTTTCATGTGATCATCTAACTATCTAGAAAGCTTTAACTTTCTATCTTTAGACATCACAAATAGCAGTAGTTTTCCTGCTGTTCCGCTTAGTCTTCTACTTGGAACTGTGACATTTTTAGTAACAGAATGATATCTCAAAAATTCTTTGCAAAATGGATAATTGCACTTATGTCTGACAAGATATCTTAAGATGACATAATGTTTGTGCACTGTACTGATCCTTTTCTTTCCTTTAGAAAAAAGTGGGTCTTTTCTTCAAGATGTGGACTGGGGAGTAGATCGTGGATGGCATTCATGTTACTCCGTTCAGTTTGACATCATAGCTCCTTCAGCCCTCCTATGACTGCTGTCGTCATTTTTTTTTAATTTTTTGTGTCTCAGAAGCTTGTCAAGAGCAGTCTAAGAGGAGCAGAATTTGTGTTGGAACATTTTCAAAGAACATTAAAGTGAAGGTGTTTTATTTTAGGTATATCTGATTCAAAGGCTAGGTAGGAGCTTTTGGCGTATTGCTGCCCTGTGAAAGAAAACTTGATTCATTTATTACAAGGTTCAGAATTAATATTTTGGTGTTCATTATTGGTGTTAGTTATTGTCACCCCTAATCGCTACACACATGTGTAGTTATTGTGTGTGTGTATGCATGTACAGTTTGTGTGTATACACACGCACATATGCATGTATATATACACACTGGTAGAGACTTAAATGGCTGTTTAGCCTCACAACCTACATTCAACACTGACCCATGTGAGGTGCTGTAGGAAGAAGGCAAGAATTACTTTCCCATAGTACTCTAAGCTTCCAACCATTTGAAGCCTGTACTTCCTCACTGTGCAGAGCTTCTGTGTGTTCAGTATCACTCAGTGGATGTCTTTTCCGTGAGCTTTTCCGGTCATTCCTTGGACCAGTCTAAATCAAGAGCAGCTGCAGCATCCTCTGGCAAGGAGTGACAAAGCTCAGCTGTCAGAAGACTGACTTCTTTGTTTTGATCCTGACTCCTTCTAGCTTCATTTGATACCAGCACCCACTTCTTCTGTGGGAAGAGAAGACAAACTTTTTATTCCCATCCGCCATTTGCATGTCAAGTGATTGGAGACCTCCAGACGCCCACTTCAGTTGTTTCCAGGCTTCTCCTACTGTTAAACACAGTTAATCTCTCTATGCAAGGGCCTGTCCGCTTATGTCATGGATACTTAGTTTCTTTAAAAAGTTTTTGGTGAGGCATTTTGTCAGGTCTTTTGAAAATGAAATAATTATCATCATTATGCTATTCTTGTTGACACCTTCAAAGACCCAGTTTGACTGTCTTGATTTACACTTGGCAGCTTCTTTCATGTAATCATAACTTTAGTAGTAAGCTGATGAAATGCTCTTGGTTTATAAATTATACTTGATTTGATAAGCGAGATTGTCAGAAAGTGTAGCCCACGAAATACAGGATTGGTCTATAAGACTGTTTCAGTTTGCAGTAGAAAAGGTAAATGGAAGCAGATCTATAATGGAGGTTGTCAAGTTTTAAAGCTCAGCACCAAAGATGTTTAAAGGAAAGAAAAAACCTAATTAGTGAAGTTTCGTGAAGTATGAGCAGGCCAATTGATTGGATTGGGGAAGGAGGTCTGGAGAATCAAGTCATAAATACAGATGAAAATTTGTCTTAGGCTAGGGAAGAGCTTGTCCAAGTTTTTTTTTGCTGTTTCCTGACCGGCTTTTAGGGGGTGTTTATGGCAAGCAGTATTTCCAGAGAATGGGGAAGAAAGGAATTCAGAAGTAAACTGGTTTCATTCATGTTTTTCTGACAAGTAGGTTAGAAATAGCAATTCCTAAATGGCAAGCTGAATTATTTTTTCATAGGATGTGAAAATAGCAAAATCTTCTTAACCAACACACTATAGGATAAGGGAAGAAGTGGGTCTGAAACTAGGATGAATTCAGGTTGTCCTGAAAAGATTATTGTAATTAGTATCAAACACAAGGGATGGTCACAGTCCTCAGATATGGAAACAACAGTGCTGTAAACAAAATTGAGTTGAATACTGTCAAATGAATGCAAAAGAGGAGGATTAGATAAAATTTATTCCAGAGATTTGAGAAAACTGGTGTGTGAAAGTGCAGATAGTAAGAACTTTGACTGTTACCTTTACAGGCAAGTAATGCAATCTGGATTTGGTATGAAAGATGGCATCTCACTTAAAGACAGGAGTGAGTACAGTGGGATACAGTACATAAGTGACAACAATAAAACCGGAGGGAGTCTGCTTACACAGTTCCTCAGCTCTCTTGAAGCTGTATTTCATATTATCATTCATGACTGGCACACAAAGCAGGAGCGTGTCAATAGAAACTTTCTGGTGGCATGTAGTTCAGAAGAATTACCTGAACAGAGGAAATGAGAAATAAATCAGAAGAATTGGATTAGCTGAGAGAACGGTAGAAGTGGGAAGAGGTGTACTTGTGCAAAACAAAAATTAGTGTGCTTGGCAACTAACAGGATTTTTTTTTTTCCAAATGTAAAATTCAACCAGGCAGTTGCAAACAATAGCACTGTGATTGATCTTTCTTGCTCTGTATGCTGCCTGTGTACTAAGATTGTGGGGGGAAAAAGCAAGTGTAATTTTTAAAGATACTAAGCTGTAGCAGGAGATAAGTGGAAGTATTGTAATCTTTGAACAGGCTCATTTGATACCTCATTCAGTTGCCCTTATTAGTAGTTCCTTATGCCCAAGAGAGCCCAAACTGTAAGAGCTGCAGGGGCAACCTGAGCTGTGGATTCCTTCCACTTGTATTTGAATTGGCCAAAACACCTCAGCTGCGCTTGCTTGAGGCTCTGGGTGGAGTCAGTAGAAAGCTAGATGTTCCGGTAGAACAGGTAAGGTCTTGTGTAAAAAAAAAAGCCTCTTTGTGTTTAGCAAATGAAGAATGGGGTCAGCTGAATGTGGTGAAATCTATGGGCCAGGTAGATGTACAGGGATATACCTGAGGGTGCTGAGAAAGTTGTCTCGTGAACATGAGGCTGCTGTTTGTCATCCGTGAAAAACCATGGGGACTGCGGGAGGTTCTGTAGGACTGGAAGAAGACTTACTAACCCATCTGGAAGAGAACCTAGGGAATTTCAGGCTGAGTCTCAACTCAGTCCCTGGAAAAATCATGCAGGCCTTTGCTTAGAATTAAGATCTGAACATGTGAAGGACAAGCAGGTAATTGGGAACAAGCTAGCACGTATGTAAGAGCAAGTGATGCTTCACCAACATGATAGCCTGCTGTGACAGACGGCTGCACGGCCAAGGGGAGAGTGTCTGACACAGTACGCTTTGTTAATAAGGTTGGTTGGTGCTGCGTTCCACCAGTTCCAGTTTTTCATTCTGCTTTAAGAGGTATCTGAATTGACAAACAAGATATCAACAAAGGTAGAATTGAATTTTAAAATCTGGTGTAAAGAGTAGTAGCTTGATTGGGGGGTTCGGTGGTAGGTGGTATTGAGGGTCTAGTAGTTTCATGGCTTGTTAGCCTGACTTACAACCCCTTAAATATAAACTGATAAAACTAATGAGAAATGGAGACATTGCTTTGCCAGCTTCTGGTCAGTTCACACAAATACTTTCTGAAAGAGCTGAAAATACGTGGTGCACAGCCAATGGATCAGATAAATAACTTCTGATGTAACTGTGGTAACTCACCAGTGTGCTCTGATCTTCTGGTGAAATACTCTCATCAAATCACAGTATCGGAGTTCATTGCAATTTAATTGTACCTGATGTTAAAAGCAACGTGGTCGAGACTGGAAAGAGTAAATTTGTGAGGGTTTTGTTTTGTTTTTTCCCCAACTAATTTCCCCTTCTTTCTTTAGAAGTCGAAGTAAAGTTCTGTCTCGTTGGCTGGCTGGCTTACCTCAGCAACTTGCTCTGCTTGGCTTGCGAAATCCGGAGCTCTCGAATCAGCTGATTGACATCATACATTCTGCTGCTTCTCGTTCGAACAAGGAACTATTACAAAGTTTACAAGCCACGGCTGCTCGGATATATGGTGAGACTTTCATGCTACAGCATGATGAATTTTGTCCCATCGCTTGGCAGGGGAGTTGCAATAGGTGGAAAATATTGGTGTTTCCTGGGGGAAAGGGGGGGCAGGGGTGGAGATCGGTTCAGCCCCTCGTAATAAAGGTTGAAATGGACTTTAATGGGATAGACGAGAAGCTTCCGCTTTTGCGAACCCACTTCTGGTGGTGTTTCTTCCCCCCCCCGCCCTGGC